CGCCCCGCGACTCACCTCGGCCCCCAACCCCCCGTGGCTTGCCTTCTCCCGGGCCCCAAACCCCCAGCGTCCCTCCCGCACTCCCACCGGCCCGTGCGGGTCGCGCTATGGAGCCCACGCCCACCCCAGCGCGCCGGGACGACCGAGGGGCCCAGCTCGTCAAGTCCCGCCCCCCTTCACTTGAGCCGCCTCTTATTGGCTGCGCCGCACCCGGCCGCCCCGCCCCGCTCGCTTCCCATTGGCCCAGACGCACCCGGGGAACTCAGGGCGCGCGAAATCGGGCTCGGGCGCGACAATTGAATCTCGGGGCACCCCGCGCGCAGGCGCGGAGCCTGACATCCTCCCCGGCCGCTCGCCTGGACCTCCCCCACCTGGCGCGCTCGACCCCCCGCCCCGCTCCGCTGGTCCCGGCTGGAGCCGGGTATGTGCCGGGGAGCGACCCCCGAGCGTTAGGCGGAAGGGGAGGCCTTGGATCCCGGGACAGTGTGCGGGACCCGCGTCCGCCCGCGCGGGTAGCGCGGGAAAGTTTTGCAAAGTCCCCGAGCCCAGTGTGCCCGGCCCGGGCTGGTACCCCGACCCGGCCCGCCCGCTCACCTCTCCAGTCACCGCGAACCCCTCGTCTGCCTGCGCGCCTGGCCCGGCCGGGGATGGTGATGGAGCCGCGTGCGTGGCCCGGACCCTGCGCGGACGTGCGTGCGACTCGAAGTGCCCACTCGGCAAACGCTGCCCGCCGCGCTGCCAGCTGCTCTGATTTTTTTCCCGCGAAAACTCGGCATTTGGGAGTTGCGGGGCCGCAGGAGGCCGTGCCGGGGGCGGGCGCCTGCCTCCTGATTGGCCGGCGCAGTGGCGGGAAGCGAGAAAGAGGGTGGGGGGCGCCCCCGCCTCTGTCCACGGCGCCTCCGCCCAGCGGGCCGCGGCTCCGCCCAGCCCTGCGCGCTCTGCAGGGCGCGCCCAGCGGGCAAAGGGGCTGCGTGGCAGGGCCTGGTCACCCCCCGCACGTGGGCCCCCCTAGGAGCCTTGGGGACCCCCCAGGGTACAGACCTCTCAAGTCCAAGTCCGTTCGCAGCCCCCGCCTCAGGCACGCGTTGACCAGTAGGTCTAAGAAGGCCAGAATCAATGTGGAAATACTGCGAGGGAATGTGGGGGGCCCCTAGGAGACCACCTGCACCCTGATGGCTGGCCTGACCGCCCCAAGCCCCACTGCCTGGCATCAGGTCCTGCCAACGCTCCCCACCCTACCCACCCGCAGGGCTTGTTTGCTGTCTTTTCCCGCCTCGTTTTCCCGCCTTCTCCGAGCAGTCCAGGCGGGCAGGGCTGCCCTGCCCCCTCCGCCCTGTCTATTCCACTCTGACCAGTCCTGGCGGGCACACGAGTCACCCGTGGCTGGACACCTACAAAGCAGCAGGACAGGTTGCTCAGAGCTGCGGGGCCCAGCAGTGTACATGGCAGACCCAGCTGGTGGTCTCAGGGAGGGAAAATTCCTATCTGGGGGAGACAGGCAAGAAGTGAATAAATAAATCAGATAATTTCAGCCGATTCCTTGTAGGAGAGAGGGACCAGCGGCCACGTGGAGGGGGGGCGGGGAGAGAGAATACTCTCTCATTGGGGCCACGGCGGTGGGCCTTGCTGAAGAGATGACATTTGAGCTGGGATGGGAGATGAGACTCCAAGGACAGATGGGTCTAGGAGGGAAGGTCAAACCCAGAGGCCGGAAAAGGCTTAGAGGTGTCCAGGGAGCAGGAAGGGGCTGCTGTGGTTGGGGCCCACCAAGCAAAGGGGAGGGGGAGCTGAGGTCAGAGGGGTGATATATAATACCTTGAAGGCCACCGGGGAGGACTTTGGTCTTTAGCTGGAGATCTGTGAGCAGAAAAACGTTGAGTTCCCACTTAGCTTTTTATAACAGTTTCTTCAGCATTGTATTAAGCCTCCTCTATCTGGTCAGCGGGACTTCAGCTGTGTCCCTACAAAGGCGACAGAATCATGGCTCCCAAAGATAGGCGCCTGTAGACCCCCACGTCCTCAGCCCCAGGATCTGTGCCCGACACAGCTAAAAGGACTTTGCAATTTCGAAGGTGTGATTACGTTAATGATTTTGTGTTGGGGAGCGTCTCCTGGGAGATCCAGGTGTCCCCAATGTTCTTAAGAGGTCCTAATAAGTGAAAGAGGCATATGAAAAGGTCAAAGTCAAAGGTGATGGGAAAGTGGAAGCAGGCTTTAGAATGATCACGTCAAGAGGCAAGAAAGCTGGGCAGCCTCGGGTGGTTAGAAAAAGCAAGAAACAGACTCCTAGAGCCCGCCCTGCCCCTAAAATTTATTTCAGACTTCTCACCTCCCAAATTGTAAGATAAGAAATGTGTGGGCCGGGCATGATGGCTCACGCCTGGAATGCCAGCACTTTGGGAGGCCAAGGCGGGCGGATCGCTAGAGGTCAGGAGTTCCAGACCAGCCTGATCAACATGGTGAAACCCCTTCTCTACTAAAAATACAAATATTAGCTGGGCATGGTGGTGTGTGCCTATCATCCCAGCTACTCAAAAGATTGAGGCAGGAGAATCATTTGAACCCCGGAAGCGGAGGTTGCAGTGAGCTGAGATGGAGCCACTATACTCCAGCCTGGGCGACAGAGTGAGACTGTCTACAAAAAAATAAATATGTGGTTTCCAGCCACTAGCTTGAGGTCCTTTGTCAGAGCAGCCTTGGGAAACTCCTGCATTCTAATCCACGATGTCCAAATGGTGCTCCGTTCATTGTCTGCAACCTCAGTACACGATCGAGGCTACCGCACACAATCCCAGACCCTCGGCCATTGGCCGGGTAGGAACCACACCACAGGTGTAAGCAGGCCCACCTGAGGACGTGGGACGCCTGAGCCCTTCCAAAATGAAGGTGCCTGCTACAGAAACCCAGCCTGCTTCCACTGGAGCATGTTATCTGCTTGCAGCACTGTTGCAAAAACTCAACATGGCTGAAAGAGGAAATATGTTTTTCTTGTTCTTTTTGAGATGGAGTCTTGCTTTGGTCCCCAGGCTGAAGTGCAATGGCGTAATCTTGGCGCACTGCAACCCGTACCTCCCAGGTTTAAGTGAAATTCTCCTGCCTCAGCCTCCTGAGTAGCTGACTGCAGGCGCCCCCCACCATGGCTGGCTAATTTTTTTGGTATTTTTAGTAAAGACAGAGTTTCACCATATTGGCCAGGCTGGTCTCGAACTCCTGACGTTTGATCCACTCGCATCAGCCTCCCAAAGTGCTGGGATTACAGGCCTGAGCCATCTCGCCCGGCCTTCTTTTTCTTCTTTGAGATGAAGTGTTGCTTTGGTGCCCAGACTGGAGTGCAATGGCATGATCTTGGCTCACTGCAACCTCTGCCTCCCAGGTTCAAGCAGTTTTCCTGCCTCCGCTGGAACTACAGGCCTGCATCACCACGCCCGGCTAATTTTTATATTTTTAGTAGAGATGGCCTTTCACCATGTTGTCCAGGCTGGTCTCAAATTCCTGACCTCAGGTGATCTGCCCTCCTGGGCCTCCCAAAGCACTGGAATCCCAGGCGTGAGCCACTGTGCCCAGCCAGGAATACTTTTTGTTTTTTTGTTTGTTTGTTTTTTGTTGTTGAGATGGAGTCTCACTCTGTCACCAGGCTAGGGTGCAGTGGCGCGATCTCAGCTCGCTACAACCTCGGCCTCCCAGGTTCAAGCAATTCTCTTGCCTCAGTGTCCTGAGTAGGTGGGACTACAGGCGCATGCCACTACACCCAATTAATTTTTGTATTTTTAGTAGAGACAGGGTTTCACCATGTTGGCCAGGATGGTCTCGATCTCCTGACCTCGTGATCTGCCCGCCTCAGCCTCCCAAAGTGCTGGGATTACAGACGTGAGCCACCACACCCAGCCTGTTTTTCTTTTCTTTTTCTTTTTCCTTTTTTTTCCAAGATGGAGTTTCGCTCTTGTTGCCCAGGCTTGAGTGCAATGGTGCAATCTCTGCTCACTGCTCCCAGGTTCAAGCAGTTCTCCTGCCTCAGCCTCCTGAGTAGCTGGAATTACAGGTGTCCACCACCACACCCAGTTAATTTTTGTATTTTTAGTAGAGATGGAGTTTCTCCATATTGGTCAGGCTGGTCTCGAACTCCTTACCTCAGGTGATCCACCAGCCTCAGCCTCCAAAGGGCTGGGATTACAGTTGTGAGCCACCACACCTGGCCAGGGAATACGTTTTCATGTACACGTGGTGAGGGGCACAGCCCAGGCACCTTGGCCAGCGGAAGTTAAGTATCACAGAGGAGGTATCTAGCTCTCCTGCAGGAAAGATATTGAGGGCTGTTGATTGAGGGCTCCAGTTCCCTAATTACCTTGAGAAAGTCAAAATTTCTCAAATTTGCTGAGGTTTTTTTTTTTGTTTGTTTGTTTTTTGTTTTTTTTTTTTGAGACGGAGTTTCGCTCTTGTTACCCAGGCTGGAGTGCAATGGCGCGATCTCGGCTCACCGCAACCTCCGCCTCCTGGGTTCAGGCAATTCTCCTGCCTCAGCCTCCTGAGTAGCTGGGATTACAGGCACGTGCCACCATGCCCAGCTCATTTTTTGTAGTTTTAGTAGAGACGGGGTTTCACCATTGTTGACCAGGATGGTCTCGATCTCTTGACCTCGTGATCCACCCGCCTCGGCCTCCCAAAGTGCTGGGATTACAGGCTTGAGCCACCGCGCCCGGCTGCTGAGGTTAATAATTGCCCAGCTAGGTGCAGTAGCTCACATCTTTAATCCCAGCACTTTGGGAGGCCATGGATGGCTGATCTCTTGCGTCCGGAGAGTTCAAGACCAGCCTGGGCAACATAGTGAGACCCTGTCTCTTAAAAAAAATAGAAATAAATAAGCCAGGCTTGGCAGTGTGCGCCTGTAGTCCCAGCTACTCAGGAGGCTGATGCAGAAGGATCTCTTGAGCCCTGAAGATCAAGGATGTAATGAGCCATGATTGCGCCACTGCACTCCAGCCTGTCTCGAAAAACAGCAATAATTGTTCAAGTGAATCATTTAAAAACATGAGTAACAAACTATTCCAGGCATCTCTGAAAAAAAGCTCACAAACTGATTAGAGCAGGGGTGTCCAATCTTTTGGTTCCTCTGGGCCACACAGGAAGAATTGTCTTGGGCCACACATAAAATACACTAACACTAGCCAGGCGCCGTGCCTCACACTCATAATTGCAGCACTTTGGGAGGTCAAGGTCGGTGGATCACAAGGTCAGGAGATCGAGACCATCCTGGCTAACACAGTGAAAATCCATCTCTACTAAAAATACAAAAAATTAGCCAGGCGTGGTGGCATGCACCGATAGTTCCGGCTACTCAGGAGGCTGAGGCAGGAGAATCTCTTGAACTCTGGAGGTGGAGGTTGCAATGAGCCGAGATCACGCCACTGCACTCCAGCCTGGGCAACAGAGCGAGACTCTGTCTCAAAAAACAAAACAAAACAAAAATTATCCAGGCGTAGTGGCACGCACCTGTAGTCCCAGCTACTCAGGAGGCTGAGGGAGAGAATCGCTTGAATCTGGGAGGTAGAGGTTGCAGTGAGCTGAGCTTGGGCAACAAAAGTGAAACGCCGTCTTGAAAAAAAAAAAGAAAAATTGCACAAAAATTTCGTAATGTTTTAAGAAAGTTGATGAATTTGTGTTGAGCCATATCCATCCTGGGCTACATGTGGCTGGTGGGTCGAGGGTTGGACAAAGTTGACTTAGGGAAACAAGATGTCAATACCACAAATGCCATCACATAAAGCAAGTTACAGCCAAGACAAAGAACAAGGCTTTCCAGGCTAGAGAATGGGTACTTTCTAGCACCTCCTATGATTCAACATCCTTCCCTTTCAGGCACCAGCCCACATGCAAATCAGGTGCCAGGAATAACTGCTAGAGTCCAAAGGGCCTCAGTTTCCCTTTTGCAAAATGATACACTCTCAGAGGTCATTAAGTCATTCAACAAACTTTCATTAATCCCACCCTACCCCTGGTGCCTGTCTGAGCTAGATCCTGCCTGGGTCACGCAGACGTCGGTGAGCACAATGTTCACTTAGACAAAGTCTCACCCTGGAAGGACTTCCCATACAATGGGGGAAATGCAGGCATAAAGAGAAATGTCTGGGAGGCTGAGGCAGGCGGATCACCTGAGGTCAGGAGTTCAAGACCAGCCTGGCCAATGTGGT